AAAACTATAGAATGAGCTAAAAGCCAGTGTGCCCCATACAATGTATAACACATACATAACAAAATAATTCAGATAAGATAAAATAATTTATCAAATATATTTAATAACATGCACACTACCCCCATCCATCACCAAAATGTATAGGTTAACCTGACCGTACACGCCTATACACCAGTAAGGCTTAACCTGTGCACAAGCAGAGGAGCCTAGGAAAACTGTAAGGTTTTCCTTGCACACAGCAAAGGGACCTGGGAAACTGTAAGGCTTACCCTTGCACACAGCAAAGGGACCTAGTAAACTGTAAGGCTTGCCTTCGCACACAGCAAAAGGACCTGGGAAACTGTAAGGCTTACCCTTGCACACAGCAAAGGGACCTGATAAACTGTAAGGCTTACCCTTGCACACAGCAAAGAGACCTGGTAAACTGTAAGGCTTACCCTTGCACACAACAAAGGGACCTGGTAAACTGTAAGGCTTACCTTCGCACACAGCAAAGGGACCTGGGAAACTGTAAGGCTTACCCTTGCACACAACAAAGGACCTGGTAATACTTCCTTCAATCGTACCCCCAATGACAAAATAAACATGTATACATTGGAGTAAAAACGGTAATTAATCCATTAAATATGGAAATGTTCTATATTAGAAATCATGTACAAAAATACTATAACTATAAACCATATAAAAATTATACGGTAAATAAGACATTTAATAAACATTATTCAAAATACCGGATATTTTCTCATAAAGTATATTATATTCTCATAATATAAACCAATTTGGATATATAGTTTAAAACTGTAAGATAACACTTGTAGGGAAACACACCTGTAACAGTCTGAGAAATCAGATAGGAAAGCTTATTATGGTTTGTTAATCACGCTCTGCTGCAGCGCTAGATCTACGAATTAGAAAAATCCATATTGGAAATCTAATAAAAATAATCTTAATCTTACTTAAATAATATACGAAAACCTACGGTTAATTCTTGTATTACGCGATTCGGACTGATCTGACGAACAAACAACACTGGACCTAATTGATCCTTGCTCAGGTGAAACACGAGTACTTTCATAACGTATTTTTATTGAATCAAATCATTGACCAAATCTTAATTAAATAATTAAAATATTAAAATATTAAGCCTTTTGGGTTTACAAGCTCGATTCGGGAATTTCGGGTTAGAATTTGGCAAAACAGACTTCGAAATCAGATTCAGGACGTCGAAAAACATAAAGTATGACTTTCCGAAAATTTGAATTCTTGGTCAAAATCAAAGTCAACGGGTTTGACCGACGATTTGGAGACTTTTGAGTTTGAATTTAGCGAAACGGACCCCAAAAAACAGATTCGGGATTTTGAAAATTGTTAGAATATGTATTTTCGGAAAAGATTAACGATCGTTTAATAGCCGGTCAAAGTTCTGGTCAAAGGAGGTCAACATACTGTCAATTATTTTACAGAAATAGTACCCCTTTTCGAATTAATTACCAAAATAGCACCCATTTTGAATTAATTCCCATAATAGCACCAAAATCGAATTAATTCCCCGAATTTTGCATTTTTTCAAAAAAATAACCAAAATAGCACCCATTTCGAATTAATTCCCAAAATAGCACCAAAATTGAATAAATTCCCAGAATAGCACCGGTCAATGGTCAACAGTCGGGTCGGGTCAACGTGTCGTGTCGGGTCGTGACCGGTCAAAACCGGTTAAACCGGTTTCCAGCATTCACTCGCCCTGTGGCGGCACGTGTGGGCACGTGAGGTGTCCTCCGGGGCTCTAAAAATCACGGAAAAATTTCAAAAAATTATTTTGATCGATTTCGAGATATCGGTTCAAATTTTTGAATGGCGGAGAGCTCGATTTCATCAAATCGGAAACTTTTGACCGCTTCACCTCCCCACGCGCCGCCGTCGACGGAGACCGAGGGTAACATCGGCGGACTCGGAACGACACAAGGAACACGATGGTGCAGGAGGTGTCGTAAACGGAGCAACGATCGGCGATGAATTTAGGATTTTCTAGGCGATTGAGCTAAAAAAAGGTCGATGCTTTGACTTGAAATTCACGACGTTTGGCAGCGTTTCGCTTCAATTAAATTGAGGGGATTGTTCCTGACTCGATAACGAACACGATGGTGCTTTCAAAATGGCGATCGGAATTCGGACGGCGTCGGGATCGTCGTTGGAAGTTGAAGGTTAGGAGAGGAAATTTAGGAGAATATAAGAGCAATTGGTTTCTGATTTTTTTTTCCAGAAACCTGAAACCAATTGCACGTATAAATCCACCAATCTGACCAATTTTTATTGGGCTTTGTCTCTAAATTTTCTTTAACTCTAAAACAAGCTTCAAGTTTTAAAATCTTTCAATTTAGTCCCCAAATTTTCACCAATAACACAATTAAATCTTCAAATTCCAATTAAATATTATTTTGATATTTTCGGGTTGTTACAAAAACAATCTCCAAGGCAGTGGTACAAGCGATTTGATAAGTTTATGATAGGGCAGAAGTACACAAGAAGCAAATATGATCATTGTGGATTAATAGGGCTTATATGTTCAATCGCAGCCAGAGGCAACAAGTCGATTCAGAAGATTGAAAGATGCCCACAAATACTTACGAGGAAGGAATAAAATTGAAGAAATAGAGTTGAAGATCAAGGCTGTAAGAGAAAAGCATAAGATAGCCCTTGATAAGATTGAAGCTAAATATAGGGAAAAACTAGAAGAGCTAAGAAGAGAAAAGCAAAAATTAGCCAATAAACATTTGCATCGCACTAAGATTGTCGAACAAATGGGGTGCAGACCCAGGGTTGCCGAGCCTAATGGCCGGAAAGAAAGCTCTTTTATTTGCATTTTCTTTAACAGACTTTGCATCCAACACTTTCATTTGTGGACGAAACTGTTTGAAACACTTTCATTGAACACCCTAACTTTCGGAGTAGTTGCGGCTCCTATTTTTTTGTATAATACATTTAAGTCCTATTAATTTAAATAATACTTAAGTAATACCTTTGTTTCTCCTATTTTTAGATTTAAAAACTATTAACAAATTCTTGTTCTTTTGATAGATAACAATTTTGTCCACTCAACATTTAATCCAAATTCTATCCATTTTTTATGGTCAATTCAAACTATTCTTACAAAGCTTTTCATGTTCCACATATATAGAAAAGTTATTAGAATACTCTCAATACATTTAATCCTGATTTCCGTTAGAGTTTTCACTTGATTCCTACGTATATACAAATATGTAACTGTAGATTACCATAAGGGCAATCAAGGGATAATTCCATTTTATCCTTTGGATAAAAATGCATCTAATTATCTTTCTTTAGCTAAGATGATTTTGCATATTTCATTTTTGTTCTACATCACCTAAATTTAATATCATCTTGTTTTATCTAATTAACAATAACCATACATTTTAATAAAGACACAAGTTATGTACAAAAATACTTAACAATAAAATAAATTAAATTTATAAACATTAAAATTACATCTAATGTAGTTTGACATTGTTCTCTAGAATTTAGTCTAAGTTCTTTCACTTTCAATTAAAAAAATATTCTTAAATATAATTTAATCTTCATTGCTCGTTCGTGGGGAAATGAAGTAAAAAATCCCCAAACTCCGGTTCACCAAGAAAACTCTTTGCGCGGACCTTTGCGTCAACCAACGCAAATAAGGAGTCTAGAAGATACAAAAAACATAAGAAATACTAACAAGAATCAACAGGAAGCTTAATATAGAGAAAAAATGAAACATTTGGCATAGAATCAACCAGCAGAAATCCATAACTCTGAAGAAAATTTCACTTTCACAAGATACAATAAATATTGATGGAACAAAAATAGACAACTCACCCATACCACAGAACAAGCTTTTTTTAAAAGATGACAATCGGCATTCAGCAAGTTATTTTATTAAGAAAAAATGTGAATACAAAAGGTAACATGGTCAAACCACAAAACGAGAGAACCTTAGGTTAAAAAGGAGAGTTTGAGTGTTCATTTTTTTTTTATCAAGATCACAATTAGGTTAGCCTTCAAAGTAAAATACTAATAAAAGTGGAGTTACCTGAAGGCTTTGATAGCACTTTTCAGCTCAGGATATTTCTTGCACTTAAAGGAATATCTGCATCACCCAGAAATTTGATAAGAACAAAATCGGCTAAATGCATTTGTTATCAAAAAAAAACAAAAATACATCAAGTTAAACGGACATGCATGGAGCATTCATCGAAGATAGCAGGCGTAAATCCTTTTGCTCATGTAATTTTATTCTAAAGACAGAATATGGGTCATATCCAGAGAGATGCATAAGCAAGGTATAACAAATGTAGACTCATCCATGAACATATTAGTTACCAATCAAAAGCTGAATAGGGTTGCGAGGAAAATATTATTGTCAAGCACAACAAACACTTTCTCTAGTGCTTTAACACTCTAACAACCAAAGAGCTGAATCCACATGAGGAAAATCAGGTACCCCATTAATGTAAATCATCACAGGGTTTTCCTTGACATCCTAGAATAACAATCAATACCATAGCTTATGCAATAAAGAAAACTTCTGAGCTACAAAGGGGAAGAAAGTTCCAATCTACTTGTGTATATAATACCTAACATATCAAAGGGCATACCTACCTGCTCAACAATATCCTTAAAAGAAACAGCAGCAGAATCCTGAACCTTATTGTCAGTCTAAACTCATCATTTATTCGGGCTCACGGGGAACAGTTGAGTATTTCAACCCATTCTGGTAGAAGGATCCAATCACCTAATAACAGCAGAGCCAGAAGAAGGCCTCTTGAAATTAAAACATGAAAATAGTTTCTAAAGGTTCATATCCTGATTTTTAATGGAGCACAAAGATCCTGAGACAGTTGCCAGCAATTTAGAACAATATGAAAAAAGCTATTTGGGTTTAGAGAATTATCTAAAACCCTAAACCCGAATAATAATAAAATTAAAGATGATGAATTCGAACATACGTTTATATTAGAACGAGCAGCTGGGAGAGTGGCGATGGCCCTCAACAACGTGTTTGATGATAATAATCTAGCCATTACCCCTCAAATCTCTGATTATTCAAAATATATGCACAAATTTCAATAGACAAAATCAATCGATCACAACTGAAAGATGAAAAAATAGAAATCGAATTTGTTTACCTTTGGGAAAGAAAATAAAACCCTAATTTACTCATATGAGATTTGCTCAATCTAAAACAAACAAACTTAATTTACTAAAGCGAATAGAACTCAATTCTAAAAAAGGTGAAGACACCATACCTCATCAACAGTCCCCTTCATTCCATAAACTAGTATATGAGATTTGCTCAATCTAAAAAAAATAAATCATATGATCGACAATTTTGCTACGAACTTGGAGGGAATAAAAAGAAGAAGATGTAAACGGTGAAAATGGAAAAATAGGTGAAGGGGAAAAAATGACAAAGGGTTAAAGGGGCGTGGGACATAGAAATTGTAAACTTACGGTGTTAATAAATACAAATGCCACTAAAGTACTGTTAAATTGCAGCGTTTGTATAAAAATGCCACAAAAGTATAAGTCTTTACCAACGTTTGTATAGAAACGCCGCTAAAGTTCTTATATATTGCGGTGTTTATTGAAAAAACGCCACTATAGGTGAACCTTATTGCGACATTTGTATAAAAATGTCGCTAAAGTTGTTGCGGCGTTTATTGAAAAATGCCACTATAGGTGAACCCTATTACGACATTTGTATAAAAACACTTCTAAAGTACTAATATGTTGCGGTGTTAATTGAAAAACGCCACTATAGATGGACATATTGCGGCGTTTTTATAAAAACGCCGCTAAAGTACTACTATATTGTGTTTCCAAAACAATGCCACTATAGATGAACCCTATTGCGGTATTTTTAAAGAATCACCGCTAAAGTTACCATTTTGTGGCGTTTGGAATGTAAATGCTGCTATATATTTAAAGTTAGTGGCGTTTACTATAAAAATGCCGCTAAAGAACAGTTTTGTTATAGTGTGGTCATGTAACAAGTAACTTTTTCGAGTTTCCCTCACTACGTTAAATTTATTAATTTGTGATGAATTTTCTATATGGCATTGCGTATAACATCACAAAATATATTATAAACGTGATATTTTTATGTTTTCGTCACATTTAGTGATGATGACATATCTTTTATGAAAATCTTAAAAATAGTCATTGATTTTTGGTATATGTTGATGCCAAAATTTGACTACAAAAACGTTTTCAATGACATTTAGACAAAATAGTGATGTTGTAAATTTGTCTTCAATAAAATAAAAGTATTAGTGACGATTTACTAGTATGACGATTTGATTTGAATTAGTGACGTTATAAAAGTATTGTGACACTTTGATTCATCATTTTATATGATATAAAATGTGATATTTTATTTATGCCATAAAAATAGGTTTAACTTGACGAAAGTTATTATTTGTCACTCATTTTAATATTTATTATCTTTTATGTGACGATTTTAAAAGACATTATGTGACTGTGACATTTAATGTTTGGCACAAAAAATTAACTAAAAAACTGGTGAAGAAAATTTTAACGTATTTGATTTTATGTTATAATTTCAACCACTCCTACTAGTTTTCTCAATTTGTGTTCCATAAATATTATATATAAGACCCATTTTGGGGGAATATATTTAGTTTAAGGGCTAAAAAACCTTAACAATTGAAAAAGTAATTCAATCAATGAATTTATTTTGCACCTGATTTAATTATTGTACTGAGAATATTATACCAATTAATCTCTTTGAACAATTTTCACTAAATTTAATATTTTTAGATTATCTGTCATATGGCAACACAATCTGGTACATCACATGACAAACTCTAATGATGTCACGTGACCTTTCTAGACTTTTTAGCTTTATTTTAAAATCATTTAAAAAATTATTATTTTAAAAATATTTAAAAATTTAAAAAATATTAAACTTAAAGCATATTAAAATGTTTTATTTTTTGAACATTTTTAAAATTTTGAAAATAATAAAAATTATTAATTATTAAAATTATAAAAGATGATAAATTTTTAAAAACTCTAAAACATAACACACTTACTATAAAAATGATAAAAATATATAGACTTATTCGAGTTCAAGTTTATATTATATTGTGAGTTCAAGTTTTATTTAAATTATGACTGATTACGTACATAAACTTAAAAAGGATATCGATTTATTTCAAGAATTAACAATTCTTACTCTGACCAGAAATAGAGATTATATCAGAAACCCATAATAAATGAATATTGCCTTATAAACATAGTTTCCTTTTTATAAGTCCTATATGAATTAATAAAAAGTTCTTCAATGTTGACAGCGTCGTTTTACTGTTAAACAATTCCTTAATCTCAAAGAAATAAATTAAGTAGTAATAGTGAGAATAAGGGTCAGTCCACAAGGACTTGGAACTACTCAAGTAAGAGGGTTTTAATTGAAAGTATGAGATAAAAGTAAAAATAAAATAACTTAGAAAATAAAATAGTAGGAGAAAATCAATTTAATAAAAGCAGTCGCAGTCTTCGCTTTGCCTCCATTTCTGTCGATGATTGAATAAGATTTTTGCTTCGAATTCATGTTGGTTACAATCTACAGGGCCAACCCCTATAACTTGTTTTTCTCTCTGGTATACCAACAATCCAAAATCAATCTTTGAATTTTAGACCTTTTGTGGACCAACCACGACTATCTTCGCCAGCGCCAACTCAATTTAAATATTTGAGAAAACCTGACATAGACTATGTTGCCTCAATGAATATTGAATCCTATCTCAAATTCCCTTAGCGAACCATCGCTAAATGTGTTCACTGGAAGTCGAGTGTGCTACAAGTCGGTCCTTTCTCCTAACTTTAAATCGAAACAACCAAAATGCCAACGAGCTTTTTTATTTGAAATCATTTTGATTTTTGAAGGAAAGGCTGATTACCAATCCAATTTTGCATAAAATTGTTAATGTAACCGATGGGTATTAAGTGTTTTTTAATTCTCAAATTGGAATTAAGTCATCGTTTAAGCCTTTGGCTTATGAGAAAATCAGCTAAATATGATAGAAATCATATTTAGCACTTTTAAAGAAAGTAAATAAAAACTTTAAAAAGTAAAAATCGAGAAAAAAAGAATTTTTAAAGATAAAGAAAAAAAGAACAAAGTAATTCAAGAAATCTGAGATATATTCTAGCTTAACCCAATGGGGTATTTATAGTCTCCTAAAACCATAAAATGACATAGAAAATGATATAGTTAAATCCTAAAATTGTTTGAATTAAATCCTAAAAACAAAGGATAATTCCTAATTTTAATTTGAAATAAATATAGTATGACTGTCAATCTTCTATAACTGTTGAGTGGATCATCTGCTAGAAGCTGCTAACTCGATCTTTTAGAAACTACCATGTCAACAGTCTTAATGCTGGGATTCATGCCAACTAGTCCAGCCTTGATTCCAAAAATTAAAATATTGCAAAATTGCGTTATTTGAGCATTGTTTCTAGAATACAACGTCCTACACAAACAATTGAATAAAAAACCCCAAATCAACAACAAAAATCAATGAAAAATAAGCAATTAAAGTCAAAATAGTAACTAATTAAAGCAATCATCAAATCCCCCTCACTTATTCGATGCTTGGCCTCAAGCATTTCCTTATCACTACATCAAAATCAAAAGTTGTCATCTTCTATCTCGCAATGTTTCAAAAACATCCAAATAAACCAAAACCGTAGCAAATTTCAGAATTAAGTAACAATCAAGCAAAAGGAACAACCAAAATCAAGTGTAAGCAAAGCATGACATGTAACCCCCATAGACCGATACGGGTAACTCGATCTGATCTGGAGTGTCATATTAGGGACACTGGAGCAACCCACCGTAAAAACAGCGGAAAATTTAAAACTTTTATTAAAACATGTTAACTCATAAAATGATTTATCAATATTCAGAAATAAAACATGTTTCAGACTCAGATATAAAATAAAATACAATCTACATGCCCCCTAATCACATGTACCATACTCTACAAGCAACGGCAGACGAACTCCCTTACTGATGTTAATAGTTGCACTGGTTCAATCCTTTTAACCTGAAAAGTGAGTAACAGAGTGAGCTTTGAAAAACTCAGTAATACAAAACTACCAGATGATGCTGAAAAGCGTGAAGATACAGATAAACATATATTTCCTTATCGGTTTATACTTCTACAGATCTTTATGTTGAGCGGAGATCCTACTGATATTTCTGGTAGTAACAGATAATGAGCATTCAGTTCAGGGAAATATTTCGGATGAATGAGTTCAGGAGATCAAAATAGGTTATCTAGTGTGTTCCTGTAAAACCAGTGAAAAGATACAGATAAAATATTTCACTAAAATCAGTTTATGCAACATGTTTTAAAAACATGAACACTACCCCTATCCATCAAGTCCAAAATGTGTAGGTTCCCCAGAACCATACACCCACCGTCAAGTCCAGTAAAGCCCTGAGCACAAAGCCGAAGAGCCTCCAGGTATACTTCCTCCAACATTACCCCCAAAATAACATGTTCCGTCTGTAAACGGATATATCAAAAATCAAAACATAATGTATACTTCCTCCAACATTACCCCCAAAATAACATGTTCCGTCTGTAAACGGATATATCAAAAATCAAAACATAATTCAGGTCAACTATCATATCAGAATCCAAGTCAAGTATCAGATCAGAATCCAGGTCAAGTATTATAACAAAATTCAAATCGAAAATCAGATAAAATATTCAGGTGATTAGGGAACACACCAGAGTTTACAAAAATTAATAACAGGTACTGGATAATCTTAGCAGACAGAGAAACACGGATCTTCAGTATACCGATAGAATATCAGAATTTAGAATCACTATTGGAAGAGTTTAATAAATGACAAAATCATCAATTATTTAGAATGAGACTTGAGATGATAGGGAAGAAATGAAGATTCAGGACATTTATAGTCTGTGTCGATCTATCGGATTATCGAAATAACTCAAGCTGAACAACTTCCAGAACTAATTCATGTTGACCGGTTCATTCTTTGTCCTTCAGGTATTCACTCTTTATAACAACA